GAAACACGTGATTACGGCTAGATGGCGACACCAATGGAGTGTATACCCAGTACAGATTGCAGTCTATGAGTCACTTCTTTTTTATATCAAATAAGGTAAAATTCATCATTTTAATTGATTAAAAGATGTTACATATGTGTGATATGTTTTGCAGCTATACTTGAAAGGAAGCTACCTGTATATTAGCTGAGTAATTAGCGTATTTGAAAGCGTCACTCATCTGAGCCGCCATCTTCCATTTCACCACTATATTTTGACAAAATTGAAATGTAGTCAACGTCTTCACTACGGTGGGACATATACTAAAATTGGAACGATACAGAGAAGATTAGCATGGCCCCTGGCGCAAGGATGACACGCACATTCGTGAAGCGTTCCATCTTTTTTCAACCTTAAGAAAACGTGAGCGAATAATTTAGGTGTTTTCCACACAGTAGGTATGACAAAAATGGGTCCATTCTTTATCAGCAGGTGCATAGCATATGGTGACATATATGTCGTTAAAAACTTGATTTGTATTTAACCATTAATTAAAAACTAAATATCGGCTAATGACAATGTCTCATTTTTTTTCTAAGATCTTTCACAAGAATGGCCCCAAATATTTGGAATGCACTCAGTATTATAGGATCACTTCTATTTGGATATAAAGGAATACACGAAGAATTTTCAGCCCAATGGCATTTTGATTAGGAAATTAAATTGTCCTGGTCGACTATATCATATATTGTATAGAATGAATTTTTTTTAATGAATTAAAATAAAAAAGAAAGAAATATATAAATCAATTTTTTTTTCAAATCCTTCCCCCCCCCCCCCCCCCCCCCCCACTCACCCACCCACCCACACACACACACACACACATCCAGTAAAGGCAAAGTTTTATTTAATAAGAATTTTAAAAGCTTATTTCGCAGCCTCTGGTGGGACAAAGGTTTTGAGATGGGGAAGCAACGACAATTCTTTTTTTAATTTTGATCTATTTCTTTCTTTCTTCTTTAATAGTATTCATTTTATACACTTTATGATATAGTTGACCAAGACAATTTACCGCAAGATGAGTAAAAACACATGGATGGATAAGATAATACACGCTTCTAGGATAATTTAGCGTTTTTAGTCTTAACTGCGGTTGTTGAGACTTGATTGCTTTTCTTCGATTCGCTTGTTTATATTCATTTATTCAGTCAATTTTCTGGACTAGAAAACGAGAGTTTCCGAAACAAAGTGAGGAGGGGGGTGCACATGTTCCGCTGGGACTCACTTGGATTTGCCATCGATCAAAACAAATAAAAAAAATAACAAACGAGACAGTAAAGTAGCAGTTGATATTAATCATTTACGCTAATTGCACAGAACATAATAATAATAATAATAATAGTTTTATATCTAGATATAGAGAAGTACCAAATTTAGGCGTTAAAAACAATTACTGAAGATGCACATTTTTCTTCCCAAAATAAGGTGTTTGCAATCTCAAAAGCAATATTTTTTGCTGAATTATATACATGTATATTGTAGATCAGAAGTACTATTTTAGAGGAATTAAGCTTTTCATGTTTAATGTTTTATCAATTTGCATGGTAATTTTTATGTTACTTTTCAAAAATATCCATATATGTGTTGAACAGCCTAGCATATGGCCAATGACAGTGAAGATATCTTAGCTGTATGAAATCAAGACGATCAAACAAAGGATGTGGGTTACTAGTATTTGCATCAGAATAGACTTGTATAAGTGAAATCAAAACGAATCCCCTGAAAAAAACAGCAAGACCGCTATCTAATATAGTGAGGACAACGAAGAGATGAAGCTTTCAAACATTTATTAACCGACTGATTTTTCATACGATTTCAAAAGTACTTAAATTCTGTTTCTCCGTACCGATCTCTCCGTACCGATCGTTAGCGTTATTGTCAGAAAATTTCCATTCCACAATTCAATATTTCCATATTAGGCAATCTCTAAAAGTATTATTTTCAATTTAAAAATCTAAAATATTATTTGAATTACTCATACTTAGATTATACCCATCTTCGGTTTGCATGTATTAAACACGCGACAGAAACTTACAATTATATTGTGACTTTACCAGTCAGAACAAACAATATGTGACTTTGACATTTTCGATCTTTTTCTAACCCGAAAACAATTTTTCCCTTACGAAAATTTAACTTACACTCCATAACTCGCTATTCTTTTAATTATTTGATTCCTCTTAAAGTATTACTTACAATTAGGAAAGGTGTAAGTCATTAAAAATTTACATATCAGCATATTAAGGCAACAGAAAA